TAGATTCAAGTCATCTAGAATAAAGCCTGGAATCATCAAGACTTGTTAACTCCATTTTCACACATTAGCCTGAATGCACAATCTCACGTGGTGAAAATCTTATGCCTTATTATATGAATTCATATGTGCTCCAGGGAATTTCACATATCTTTGCTTTCCCGGAAGTTATTCTCATTCAAAAAAGGGTTGATAGCGATAGTGCAACATATAATCTCGAAACGTTAACCACTGAGCCAAACTGCCACGAGTCCACTTGGATCACAGGGCAGGTATGAATTTCAAGGAAGGCCATGCATTTTCCCATATCATATTCTGTGGTGGGAGTGTCAGTGAGACAAAGCTAGATTTGCTATAATAATCGAATGCATAACTTATTTTTTGCCCTGAAATGTACTAAATCAACAATCCGAGACTGGAAATTATACCGACTGGTATGACAGAACGGAGAACTGATATCCTTTAGGTACCTTTGACTCCACGACTAAGTTGTGGAAACGAGGTGAAACAAAAAATATTCCGTTTGATCAATAGCATTTGCATTGACAAATTGTAAAGGTTGCGTTCGACCATTCTGCTTCACTCATGTTCCCTAGGAATACCTGAAACTTAAATCGAATGAGTAGTAGTATAAGTAGGTAATGATTTGGAACTCGAGTCAGACTAGGTCATTTAAGGTCATGTAAAGAAAAATAGGTCTCACGAGAGCATTCAAGTTCACATATTCTTGCCTTTGAAAAAACTTTATACTCTCGGACAGACTATAGATGCGACCCGCCTTGGGGCACATCAGCAATCGCGACGGAACTCGAGTTCAGTTTGTGCAAGTCAAGGGCTTTTATGTGTTACTATTTTACCGCGCAGCATCTGGTGCCAGCAGAGTACAGGGCAGATGTGACTTTTTAAGCTGATCTGGGTCTTATGACATAATGCTGAGTTTCGAAGAAAAGATGAATTTCGAATAAAGTTTAATAGACTTAGTTTATTGTACATATTTATTTCGTTTGAACCAGCGAGCAGAAGGGACTAGTAAAATGGCATCGCCAGAATCAGGAGGATTGCATTGGCGTTATGACTGTAGATCTGCGAGAGTAAGTCCTCGATACATCGTTCCTCAGCCTCGACGAACCATGTGGAACTTTCGTCAGATCGTGAAAGAACTGGCAAGCTTGCTTTAAGAAATAGAGAAATAGACTGCGACCACACAAAAGGCCACACCATCTTGGTCTTCATACCTTTGCTTTAAGAAAGTCCACAAAACATTGAGGCAAGAAAATGGCTGGTTAAAACCCTGCCAACTTCTTATAGTCTTACTTTTTCAATTTAATGAGACATCTTACAGTTTGGTTGGATACTTAATGCCTCCCTTACAGGCCTCATAAAAGTGAAGTGGCTGTGTATGACATGAAAACTTGATGGAAATGACGCGTAAAGTGGATACTATTGTGATCGAATAGCTGCAACCTCACGTAAATCACTTGTGTTTTTGATCCTGCAATGTTGGCGCATCTAATTTTGCTCGTTTGTACGTGTGTTGTATGCATGCAGTGCTCACGAGTCGTGGAAGGTGCGAGGATCCTAAATAGACTCGAGGCTAATCAGCCTCCTTCTCTTGTTCGGTGGTACAGATTTTCTAATCTTTGTTTGGGTTAGTTATGCAATCGCCATATCCTGCTAAACGTTTGGCTTTGAGTCAAACTTTCTGATCACCTGTGTGGTACATGTATTGGTCCAATTGTGAAGTTTTGACCCACAAAGTTTAGCAGGTTGTTTCATGTTCAGCTGATCTCTCGTGTATGAGTCGACTGGTCTCCCCCACCTATTCGTTGGCATAGCAGTACAAAATCTTGTTGCAGCTCATTTGGCGTAAGGGTCTGAAAAGCCTATGAATGATGTTTTTATTAAAGAAAGTGTTATTTTATCCTTGTACATTGTTCTAATGTTCCAGTTCCTCAGTAATTCGCCTATCTTTTTCAAGGCCTGACAGAAGGTCAACATCGGGACCCTTGTGAGGTAGCCCAGCAGCCTGT